ATCCATAAGAACTTACCCAAAACACATAGCAAATGAGCCACCTTAAGGGAATGTCTTGGGGCCTATAGGACTACCCAAGGGTCTTCTTAGGTCCGTAAGGATTTACCAGTTTGATCAGAGTTGAACCTCTATACTCCAAAATCCTACCCATACAGTATCAAGTGGAAATCAGATTTAACAATAAACAGTAATATCATAATCGTGATCTAGTAAAATCTCGTAAGTGCGATAATGAAATAAACCATATAACTCCTCTCCACCTGTACACTATATACAGTTTCATGATTTACCCAAGAGAGTGCCTTAGGACCTAAGAGCCTACCCAAGAAAGTTTCTCGGAGCCTACCCAATGGTCACCTTAAGTCTGTAAGGATTTACTAGCTTGATCAGAGCTGAACCTCCATACTCTAGTCTACCTAGATAATGTCCCAATAAAACAGTTCAAGTAGTAACCAGTATATTCCATGATCCATAAATCAGGAACGATCATATTTTCCAGTGAAACATGAAATCATAAAACACATTTCAAGTAACCATAGTTCATAAACCAATAGATTTCATGATCCATAAATCAGGAACAATTATATTTTCCAATGAAAACAGGAAATCAAAGAGCACATATCATGTATCCATAGTTCATTAATAGTAAATTAAAACATCAGTGAATCAGTAATTTCATAAATTCACATTTTAAAATCGGTAAAACAATTACATGTCACATAGAGTACACACTAGAGGATCAATTATTCTTAGGATATACTTTATATTTATCAGATAGAGAACCATGAAACTTTTGTAAATTGATAGGATTTCATAATCAAGATCCTTATAAAAAGGGGTTTGATAGTTGACGAATTCATCAGTCATTCGGTTATTTTTCGGAGGCAATTAATCGTTATCAGGAAGGATAAACGTATAACTTCTGTAGATTTGAAGGAATTCATATTCGAAGTCCCTATAAAAAAGTTCGTTCATTAGCAGATCTAGTCAACATTCAGAAATTGATGTTTCAAGAGTCATTTAAGATTCGAGTGTATTAAAAAGGTAATCAGGAACCTTTACATCAGAATTTTTGAAGATCTAGATATAATAACATGATCGTTTCCATTATTCAAGCAAATAGGATAATTCATACATTTTAATTTCTAATGGATTCTTAGTAGCTTAATCCAATAAGGGTGAAACGATAATTCATGGTATTTAATATTCATGTCAATTTATCATTAAATTGAGTCATCTCGAACTGAACAAATCCCAGCACTGTGATATATGTCAACTAGTCAAATATATGTGCATAAAGGATCTTCACACTTTAATACTACAACTGTTGTAGAACTGATCATTTTCATAATCATCATTGAATGAATATTAGGGAGACGAACATGTATTCCAATGGTATTTATTTCCATTTTGTATTACAACGGTATCACGAAATGTTGACATGATGGATTCGTGGTTTAAAACCTTTTTAGACGATAAAACATATAAGTTCATCAATGTTTCCAAACTTGTCTGAGTCATTCACTTAAGGTCTTTAAGGGTACTTAGGTCATTTAGTAGTCAAGTTTACCCCAGTCACTTCGTAGTTTCCAGAATAATTCAGTTGTTTCCACAATTCAAATACCTACAGTACTTCCAGTTAGTTCAACTTGGTTATATAATATAGTCGTTTTACATTTCAAGGTATTTTGGTCATTTTAGACTTTAATGAAAATTTTGTAATTTCATAATCAGGTTGTTTCGGTGTTAAAGTTTTTAACAAGGATAAATAAAATTTAGAGATTCCTAGGTTATTTGCTTTTTCGGATAATCTCTGAACTTGAAATCATTCTTATCAATCTTCTTGTGTCTATGCAGGTAGTATAAGACTTATTCAGTTTAATTTATTTTATTTTGTAATCGGATTGAGTTTAGAAATTTATTAATTACACACATGTAACCAAACTTATTTATATGTGCATCAAGCATACATAAGGTAGTAATGTATTACGTCTAGTTTTGTGCTCTATCGATCGGACATTTAAACTCCATTCGATCACCCTTGAACTTTAATTCCACATCCCATAATGTCTCGGATAAATATCAAACAAATTTACGTCAGAAACTGAACTTAGTCGAAAACCAATTTGAATTTGAAGATAAATCACTGTAAAAATGGTTTACTGAGTGCGAATTTGGTAAAACGAACTTTGGATTCGGACTCAGGACGTCGAAAAATATAAAATATGACTTTTCAAAAATTTTGACTTTTCGATCAAAGTCAACGGGTTGACTCTAATGAGTTAACTCAGAAAAGTTGACTCGAACGTGTTGACTCAAACCGATTTGACTCGGTCGAGTCAAATAGACCTGGTTTAGATCGGTTCAGGATTACTGGACCAGTTCCAAAAGCTTCCTGGACCTGTAGAGGATCCTCACGCCCACTGTCAGCTTGTGTGACAGCGATGGAGGTCGTTTTGGACTGTCGTTCACTCCCGGTTCATCTACACACTTGATTTAGTCATTATCAACCCAAAATCACAGTAAAGATACTCCAAAGCTCATCGAAAATCAATCGGGAACTCACCCCAATTGACGATCGGTGAAAACGACGATGATAATGTGACTCGATGACTGGGTTTTGATCGCACGACAAAGGGGACTTTGGCTATGATGGCGGTGAAGGAAACTGGCGACTAAGGTGGCTAAAAATTGAGTCAAATCACAAGGAAAACCTTTGGTTTTTTGATGAGTTTTTGAACGCTTTCCATAACACATGGTGACAATTCATCGACGGTCGTCTACAGGGATTTGATCAGATAGTGACGGCGTTTCAGTTGGTGTGAGTGATGTCACCGATGGATGGTGGTGGAGATCAAAAACAGAGATGCCCAAACGATCTTCTTGTGTTTTAGGCACAACGATAATTGATTTTTTTATGGTTTACCAGATGGGGATTTATTGCGGTTGCTGCTGAGACCAACGATGGATGCAGTGTACTCCATCGCCGGTCAGAGGTAATTGATCGACCGAGGGGAAGGGCGGTGTGAAAGGTTTAATTCAGGTAAGGTTTTGGGTTTAAAAATTTGGTTTTCCAAATCAGGGGTAAGTGATCTGAACCAATGTAATCCCTCCCCACAACTAGTAGAGAAAGTTTTATTATTTTATTACCCAAATAATGCCTTAGCCTAGTGGCTAGGGCATGTCTCTCCATTATTTGTGGTTTGGGTTTGAAACCCACCAACCACATTATTCCTTTCAATCATTTTTTAAGCTGACAAGAGATGGACAATTAAAGGGTTGGGTCCCTCAACTATCTTGCATAACAACCATCATACGTAAAAAATCAAGCATTTTTGTCCTCAACTTTTCCTTTGTTACGAATTTAATTTAATACTTTAAATTAATAAAATTTAGCCCCTAAATTGGGGTATGACAGGGCAATATGGTGGAGCATTTACTGAAGATATTAGAGTTCTTCTTAAAGTATTCATGGAGGTGTGTTACTCATTTGTACAACAAGGAGTTTCTGAGAAGCATGGCTTAACTCGCTACTGCCTGGTACTATAGCATCATGGAACGAGTTAGCATAAAAATTCTTATTGCGTTTTAATCTGCCCAACATGAATGCAGAGCTACAAAATGACTTGACATCTTTCAACCAACTGGAGGACGAGAACCTATATGAATGCAGAGCATGGGAAAGATTCAAGGACTTATTGCACAAATGTCTAATGCACAGATTCCCTCATTGGATGCAAATGGAAATGTTCTATAATGGGTTGAACATGCACACTCGAATGGTGGTTGAAGCTTCAGCAAATGAAACATTGTTGGATATATAAGACATATAATAAGGCTTATGGTATTTTGTAAAGAATATCAAATAATGACTACCAATACCCCAATACAAGCAACATGTTCGGCAAACGCATTGCTGCAGTAGTGGATAATGATGTTTTAAACACACTGACCACATAGGTGATAACATTGACTGAAATGATGAAGAATATGAAAAAACATGGAGATAGGTATAAGGAAAAAACTACATCTATTGTCAATTGTGTTTATTGCGATGATAACCATAATTTTGAGGAATGTACACAAAACCCTAATTCTATATTTTTTGTAAGAAATTAAAATATGAATAAAAATGTCAATACTTATGGGAACACCTACAACCCTACTTTCAAAATCATCTTAACTTATCTTGGAGGATTCAGAATGTAGCTAACCCCAACACAATATAAAAATTAAATTTATTAATACACAGTAGTATTATTCGCAGCAACAATATACTCAGCAATAGCGATGTTGTAGCATCAGCAGGCACACCATCAGGCAATACCACAACAACAACATAATATCCAGGAAGGTTATCAAAGGCAGTCATCCAACCAAGCCTCATCTTCAACATTGACTTCACTCGAGTCTCTACTGAAGGAGTATATCTCAAGAAATGAAGCAACGAATCAAAAAATAAAGCATTGATCCAAAGTCAATCAGTATCACTGAGGGCATTGGAAAATCAAGTGGGGTAGTTAACGAATGCTCTGAGTAGTAGGCAACAAAGAACACTACCTAGCGACACCGAGAATCCAAAGCCCTATGGGAAAGCTAATTGTTACGAGCATTGAACAAGCATCACAACTCGAAGTGGTCTCCATATTGGGAAGCCTATGAAAGAGCCTAAGAATAAGGATGATGATGGGTCTGAACAACAAGATAAAGGCAAAGAAACAAAAGTGGACCTTGAACCAATAGTGGTTGTCACAACAAAGGATGCATGACAAAACAATAATTATGGGACAGTGCCAACAGTATTACCCATAACACTTCTTGTAATACCATCAGTACCACCAATGCAGCAAAATTCAATACCTCCACCACATTTTCCTCAATGATTCAAAAATGCCAAGGAGGACTAGCAGTTCAGAAACTTCATCAATTTGCTGAGAAAATTGATAATCAATATCACATTGCTTGATGCATTGGAGAAAAATTTGAGTTACATTAAATCCATGAAGGAGGTACTCTCAAAGAAGAGAAGACTTGGTGAATTCAAAATTGCTACACCCACTGAAGGGTTTAGTTCTATGGTTGCAAGTATATTGCCACCAAAATTAAAAGACCCAGGGAGTTTTATTATGCCTTGTGTTATCAGTGATCGATTTGTAGGTAGAACATTGTGTGATTTAGGTTCCAGCATTAATCTAATGCCTCTATATATTTTTAAGAAACTTGGCATTGGTGAGGCCCAATGTACTGCCGTGACACTTGAACTTGCTGATAGATCCATTGTTCACTCTGATGGCATAACAGAAAACATGTTGGTCTAAGTGGACAAATTGATCCTTCTTGTAGATCATTATTCTAAACTGTGAAGCTGACAAAGAAGTATCGATCATACTCGGCAGACCATTCCTTGCTACATGCAGAGCAATAATCGATGTTGGAAAGGGAGAACTTATAATGCATCATAATGATGAACACATTACATTCAATGCTTTAAATCATGTTATGAATGATGATAATTCTAAATGCCAGCCTACTAACATCGTCGATGAAATTGTACAGGAACATAGGGATGAATTTTGCATCATTAAGATTTATACTTCTGATGTCGCAGCAATAAAAGAATTAGATAGGCTATATCATAAAGAAACCGATACAAATGAGGGGAACCAAAGCTTCAACATTGATCATGGCATCAATAATAGTTCTACACTACTAATGCCAACTACAGAGCTATAACATAAGCACCTTAAGAAAACTACGAATGCTACCATGGAACAGAACAATATAGCAGTTGTAAAGGAAACAAAGAATGTTTCGCAAGGCTCTAGCAATGAAGGTTCTCATCTAAAAATCACCATGTAAAGCTGCAGCATATCTATGGTTTCAGTGAAGAACTGCGCTTTATGACCGATTCCAGGAAGCAAGAGTTTTTCTATGAGCAAAGCACAAGGGACCTAAAGAATTATTACAATGCCACAACAACCATCGGTAAACGTAAATGAAAATTGTTTTATTGGGATATAGTTGAAGTCACCACAACCCTCAATTTCAATATGTGAAATCATTTTTTACATGTTTTCAATAAGTCATTTATGACATTAGATTAAGCTTTTTTAGTTTTATTTAACAATTTTTCTTTTCTTGATATTTTTTAGGTCAGGTTTCCACATAAATCATTTCATCATTAGTCATAATATATGGTTTCTGCTTCACAATATCAGTTAGAGTCACTAACCACCATTGCTATACAACACCCTTTTGAATTCCAGATTGCATCGCTATATACCATTGGCAAAACAGCCATACAATCATTTCTACATAGAATCTTCACCAACATTAGGGGAGTATTGTTGTCCATTCTCCCATGTTTAATTTTATTTTATTTTTCTCTTTGTTAGTATGCATTGAGGACAAATAACATCTCAGGTTTGGGGGTGTTGTTAATTTTGTCATATTGCATTTGTTATGTCATGTGTTGTGTTTTGCATTGTTTGTGTTGTTCATTCAAGCTTTCCATGACATTTACTTGTCATGACATTTACATAGATAAACAATTGTCAAAACTTTGCAATTACCTATGATGAGATAGTTGACGATATCGTTTTAATGCCGATAATCTTAGGATTTAGAGATAATTTGAGATTGCCTTAATTATTCTTGTGATGCTACAACTATTTACGGAATGTCATGTTTGGTTCACTTGTGGGTATTTTGGAGAATATTTTGTTATCTTTCATGTTAAAAAACCCTAAAAATTGAAAAAAAAAAACACAATTTTTCTGAGTTAAGTGTGAATTATTAGATGTGCTTAATTGGCTCTAGCCGAATAAATTGTTCACAACAACCTTTTAGCTCTAGAACACTTCACTTTTAGGGCAAGTCTGGTACGCTTAGTGAATACTAAGTAGGAAATATAGTTTTGAATAGTATGAGTAAATAAAAGTCTTCATGGGATGACTGTACCTAAAAGGCTAGGGATTCGTTATTGACATCATCTTATTATTGGAGAACTCGTAGGTAGTTATGATGAACTGAAGCTAAATAGTAGTTGTTGTGACATATTTTGCTTAATTAATTATTTTGATAATTATGATATTGTTTGCAAATACCCATGGTGGGGAACCTTCTCGACTACGAGCACACACATACACGAGCATCATAAGTTAATTTTAGTTGATTTTTTGTTGTCTTGAGGTCTTAAGGTGATTGGTAGAAAATTGATAAGGTTTTGAGGTAACAAGTGCAAAGAAATTGTATGAGTGTGATGTCTAATCGCTATGAGAAAGTTGGTGTCATGCTTTGCTTGAGGACAAGTAAACACTTAGGTTTGGAGGTGTGATAACTCTCCAAAAGAGCCTAGAGACCAAAATTACAGTGGACGATGGAGGAAAAAGATAACAAAACTATTGTCTCCACAGACGAAGTCATCACATAAATCATATAGGACTTTCTTATTGTACGCTTAGGGCTTAACTTTAGAAATTGAGGTCAAGCAATGGAGTTGTATTTGTATTAGTGTATAGGTTATTGTTACACATTTTACATGACTAATAAAGTTCAAATTTTTTAAATAAAGATGAGGCCAAAGGTAATCACAAGAGTAGACTAACTACGAATAAAAGTCAAACCATGAAGGTCGAGAGAGAGGTGAAGGGTGATGTCCTGGGGAACTTTCAAGAAAATGTGTAAAAGATCATCATTATTTATAGAGGACTTAGCAAGGGAGTTAACAACAACATTTTATTCACAATGAATGAGAGAAATTCCAACATCCAAGGCTTTAATGTAAGGTAAGTGTTAGGAATTTGAGAGCGAAAAAAATAACCAAAATGATATCAACATAAAATAATACATGCACAAATGACGAGATTAACGTGGTTCGACCTTGCCTACCTCCATGGACAAGATGAACAATAATCCACTATAAACGTAGAGAACATGAAGAGTATAAATATAAGATATCACATATATCTCAAACCCTAGTATAAATACCTAAACCTGATATATCACAAAATACTCTTCCAACATCCCTACAAAGCTATATCTACAACATAAACCACCGAAAGTTGTAGAGATCCTAAAAAAAGGATTTCATATCTCTCAGATAACCCTAAAGACTAAGACACAATCTTTATTTATATAGTCAAATACTTACCAAGAATTCTTATGGGAATAAGAATTCTTGCAAAAAATAAATATTTACTTTATTAAATAAACCTAATTACCAAATAATCTTTAACACTAGAATTATAATAAAATTCAACTTCATTATCAATTATAATTTTGTTAGGATTTACGTTGCTCTATTCGATCAATCGAAAATGTGCCAAAAGAGGGTGAATTGGCCAAATAAAAAAAATTTAGGGATATAGAGAGAAATGATAAGGAAAATGAGGCATTCATACTTTTAAACAAAGTCTATATCCCTACCTTAGCTCCACACTAAGGATTTATAACAAATTCACTAATTTTTTCTTTCTTTTTATAGGCTCAAGAGTAACCTTTACAAATACCTATCTTCCCAATGGCTAGGATAGAACCAAAGCACCTTTTACAAAAGGATATATAAACGTAAACAAGAAAACCTCTAAAAGGTAGGTGTTTACAAATTAAGCTCACAAAACACTCTATGTACAAGAGAAAAGGAAAAATAAGACATTTCACTTGGTGTGGATTGCTTGGATAGGTGTTGTAACCTTTTTCAAGTTTCTTCAACTTCTTTTTATATGTTGGAATGTGTTTGTAACAGTTTATAGTTATTGGGGATGTTTTTGAATCGTTGGGGATTAATTTTCTGCAAAAATAAACTGCCTAAAACAGTGAGTATCAGTACTCGGGATAGAAGTATCAGTACTACCCTAATAACATTTAAATAAACTAGCTGTTAAAGACCATTGGGCTGAATGAGTATCGATATTGGGGTTTCGATAGGTACGATTTTTGCTTACTAGAATCTGAACACATTTGAAAACACAAGATAATATGGTACTGCCATGAGAGTATCGATACCTTTCTTACCTTTAGTATCGATACTACAACAGTATTGATACTACAACAATATCGATATTATTCATGCGATATGGATATTGTACTAACAATATCGATACTATTTACAGAGAAAAATTATTTTGTGTTCAAATTCAAGTTTTATAGACTTTGAATTATTTTTGATAATTCTGAATAAATTCAATCAAGTCCAAAAAACATTTTAGCCTTAAATTCGTTATATCAAAATAGGTTCAACAATCTCCCCTTTTTGATTTAACAAAACGTTTGCAAAATAGTTTTTTTGTTGTTGTAAAAAACCCCCTTAATAAAACATTTAATAAAAAAAGAAATATTTTAGAAAATATTAAAGCTCTTTTTTCATTATTGAAATTGAAATTTTCAAACCTATACTTCTCTCCCTTTTAGTTATATAAAAAATAGTTCAAACTTTTAGGTTCAAAAAATAACAATGGAGAGTAAGTAGAAATTTCAATCATAAAAATCTTTTGAAAAATCAAAGCTCCCCTTCAACAAATACATTCCAAAAAAAATTGACTCTAAAAGCTTGACACATAAAAATTTATCTTGTGTGGTTAAAGCATTTGAATTTCTTCACTTTTGTCAATAATGCTCTCACACACCTACAAGAGACATTCATTTGGATTTTGGTAACCAAATTGTTTTGGACCCTTGATTGTTATTGCTAATGCCCCTTGTTCTATTGAGAACCTATACTCGTCTAATTTTAAAAGGTTTTCTAAGTTTTAAAGGACAAGTATGTTCTATGTGATCATATAAATAAAAATATGAGCATTTTGCCATTTTTAAACATGATGAATTGTTTTGAGAAATTAATTCCTTTTCTTTTTTTAAGCTTTCAAGCTTAACTTTAAAATTATTTTTTTTTCTAAATCATTGATTTTGATTTTTAAAAACTAAAAATCATTTTTTAAATTTCATTTTGTTTTTCAAAATCAAATTTTGCTTTCAAAATTAAATCATTTTCAACTTTAAATTTTGAAATTAATTTCTTATATTTGAAATTCATGGTTGGTTACTTTAGCTTCATCATTGGAGTTATCTTCATCGCTCATAGCAGCCACAAATGTCTTATTCTTGTTTTATCCCTTTTTTTTCAAGAGAGGATGATCATACTTGACATGTCTCATTCTTTGGCATTCAAAGCACACAGGGTACCCTTCTTCTTACTTGGTTCATGCTTCACTTTATTTACTTTGGAAGACACAAACCTTGTGAAACTTTTGAAGAGCTTGGCCATCTCTTCATCTTCATCTTCATCCACCTCTTCACTTGAGTCTTGATTACTCTCATTTGTATATTTGAAGGCGATTCCTACCTCCTTGTTTTTCTTGTTCTTATTTTCCTCTTATTCCTTATTCTTTTGGAGTTTCACCTCATGAGTGAGTAATGAACCAATGAGCTCATTAAGGGTTTATAAATCATTAGCTTCTTCGATGGCGGTTGCTTTGCCTTCCTAAGATGTAGGCAATAAGGCAAACATTTTTCTCACTACTTCTTCATTGTGATAAACCTTCCCAAAGTTCTTCAACTATTGATAACTGAAGTGAACCCGTCATACATCGTCTTTATATCTTCATTGGGCTTCATCTTGAAGTTCTCATAATTGAGAGTAATATTGCTAATCTTTGACTTCTTCACTTGGCTTGTTCCTTCATGGATCACCTTCAACTTGTCCCATATCTACTTAGTATTAGAGCATGAAGATA